GTGGTAAGCGAAAACGATAGGGGTGCGTGGTACTTGGGGGTTGAAATTTCCCTGAAATGAATAATCATCTTTCTTGAAGGGAAATAAGGAGTGGGTTGCTTCGTGCATGTCTTCTCAGAAAACTCACAACTCCTTATATTTTATTGACTGGTAGATACCTTTACAAATATTTACAAATAATTGTACAAATGTTATAATTCGTGCAATAGTTATAGAAAAGTATTTATTATCATTGAGTCATTTATCCTGACTAGTACAGTCATAATTATTATTGTATGCCAAACTGAAAGACCAATCAGAATTGAGACAGCACATGTTTATGTGTTGAGTGAAATAGTCGCAGGTAATATCCCTAGACCATGACAAATATCCGACTTGTATTTTCGTCATAATTCTATCGAGAGTACCTTGTATTTTGACAATTTGATGAGACCATATGAACATTAATAATCTGATCTCTATCTCTATGATTATTTATGTTCATATGGTCGAATTGAATTGTCCCAAAATACAAGTTACTCGAGATGGTGCAAAAATACTGGTTCAAATGAGTTTCAACATATTATTCAAGTTACAATTCTGCAGACATTAATTGAATAAAAATTCTTCTGAAGGTCGTCTGGGGTATTCTCATCATATCTACGTACAATTATAATCAATTCATCTTAAGTTAGAGCAAAGAAAAAATATTGACGCTATTGATAGCGTTGATATTCTTTGATTAGATCTTCGGTACTTTCCTGTCTTGTTTGAGGAAAATATTGTAGGCTTCGCCTTTTTGCATTATGCGCAACCCTGGCACCTTTGAATTCGATATATTCAAATAGATTTGTCTTACGTCTATGCGTTCATTGAAGTAACCTTCCTGTATATAGCTTTCCATATCAATATTCCTCACCATTCTCCTCACCCAATCTTTTAGGATTTGGGCAATTACGAGAGATGGGGTAGTCGCACAAAATTCAGTTTTTCTGCTGGCAAAAAAACATGAATTGTTCCAGACAGACTGTTTACTCTCCTTGTTATTTTCTGATATCGATTCGCTTACATAATTACGAATTTCTGTAGTGGAAGTTGACCCAAAACGAGACATTTCAATTTTTGAGGGGACTGATAGGTATGTCAAAGTTTGACAACCACAGCACTCTTATGCTGGCGAACAGAATATCCGCTCATATTGTTTGTTTACCTAAATAGCCGCTGATATCGCATATCATGTGACTTCAATCATGACATTTCATAGGTCCAGCCGGGTGTGAATGAAATAATCGCTATTCGCGGGAATCAATGTTACCAGGTGGCGCTCGGTTTTCATCGTTCCATGTCAAAGCCACGTCAAAACTGGGGGAAAACAAACTCAATCCTCACTCAATCGCATTAGTGCCATTAGCTTGTGTACGGTGTACTGATAAGAGTGATAAGTTTTCAAATTTATTGACATAAATTGTCAATATTCGATCGAAAACGCCTGTATTGTAGATGTTCTTTTGGCAGATATTTTGCTCTATTTAGATCGGAAAAGCCGACCAGTAGTGGAAGGAGAAGCAGTTCTCCGTGCTAATCATGTGATTTTGTGTGAGGCAGAAGACTTCAACGAAAGGCACATTTTTGCACTTTGTCTACAAACTTCGGCGATGAAATCTTCCCCACATGAAGTAAAATTGAAGTTGGGGTCCAGAGGAACTCCTGTAGAACAATGAATTTGTATTTGTTCCTGCAAAGCAGGACAATCTGGGTATTGTAAACATGTTGTAGCTGTTCTTTTATATGTCAATTTATTTGCTCGTCATAATTAGTTCGAACTGTTTAAACTATCTCCAATTCTTCACCCGTTCACTGTTCACTAATAAAAATGTGATAATGTAAAAAAAATAACCAACTCAACCATCATCACTACCAACAGTGCCAACACTTTATGTCATTGACAAGATTGACTACAGCTACAGCAAGCTGAATGAAATGTGATCTATACACTTTATCCATAGACAACAGTTTGTTTTCCCCCAGTTTGAAGTTCGTACTATGTAACCTAGATGTCGCCCACTTCGTGAATTTCGCGAATAATCTATTCTCTGTCTCAATTCTTCTTATCTTTTTTATGATAAATTTCGGGTGGATTATTGTGAGACGACGTGTATGTTCGCCGAAACTTTAATTGCTTCGACTCTGCAGCGGATATTAACTGTCCTTCTCAGGTTCGAAATCATTCTACCTTGACGAAATAAGGCGACAGGCAGAAATATTTCACTTCCAAACTTTCTCCTGGATAAATAGTACATAAGTCTTCCTAATCGGATTCGCGTTTTGCGTACCAACCCACCAGAGGCGTAGGTACAGACAAAATTACACAGAGGGGGTCTCCCGAAATTATAAAGCACCAGCGGGAATTTTCCACATGAAAACACAATTTACTATTTATGTCACTGTGTCTTTTTCAGTTTGTTTTCCTGAGCTACTCCACATCTTTTAGTCCAACTTTTCGAGGGGACGGTCTTAAGGAATTGAGAAACATTTTGAAAGCAAATTCATACCCAACAAATTTAATAAACAAAATTTTATATAATTCAGACCTACTTTGTTACAATATCAATCTTCAAACAGTAATCCAAATGTCAATCAATCACCTCCAACACAACTCTCAGAACACACCACAAAATTAAATCATTTTGGAAATTTCACAAATATCAAAATGTTATAGAATCACAAACCAGTTACCAAAAAAGAACTTTCTTAGAAATGATACATATAAATAATGAACCTAAATGTAACAATAAACGATCAGATATTGCAAACCTATAAGTACAATTTACAATTATCTACTCACTATCCAAACCAAACCCAATCGTTTGATTTCGAGTTTAAATTAACCGCCTGTTTTATAAATGACATTGACTTCTGACAGTGAACACACGTCGTTTGACATAGCTCCTCGTCACACATTTTGAATTTTCAACGTCACATCTACTTCCGTTTGGAACTGTTGAATGTCGAACACCATGTGCTCATATTTTTGACAAAGTTTCACAGGACCAGTAAGGTTCCAAGAAGACTTGTAATGTAATTAATTTTAATATGTTTTCACAAATCGTGCTGTGTTTTAAAGTTCAACTATGATGTGCATTAGCTGTTCTTCATGTAACTACTCAAGTTGAGTTTTTTCAAATTTATCACAAGATACCATACTTATAATGGGTATTTGTTTTTCAGATGACTTGATAATGAAAATAAATTTTTTCGAAAGCTCGACAATTTAACAAAGAGTTTTTTCTCTACATTGGCCATTCCCTTTAACTGCAACCTCAATGAAAATATCGTTTTTAGCTGTCACGAGACTACCCTTCCATATAAATATATAAACTCCCATGCACAAGTCCCAATCTTCAGAAATATTTCTGGTACGTCTATGATCGGCTGCTTAGAATTCAAATCAAAGTTCCGCTGCTTGAGAAAATTGACGAAAGTTTAATCTGATTCCAAATTAATGTATTACTTTCCTTGTGTTCTCTGGAAGATTCTGTATTTCAGTGAGTAGATATACATCCCCTTTACAAAACCTTAGGGAGCTGTAAACTCCACTTCTTCACCTAATTTATTAACGAGTCAAAAATCGCTACAAAGTAGTTTTTATATCGATTGATACACGCCTATTCGAAAAACCAATAAGATTTCTTCAATTTCGTAAAACCGACCAATCACCCCTAAAATATCAAAGAAGGTGTTACAAAAAAAAACAGAACAATCTTGAAGCGTATTGTTTTTTTTTATTTCGTACAGAATACAATGAGAAATTGAATTTTTTTTCCACATGAAATCAATCTTCCTATAATGTCGATAAAAACAGCCGTTTTTTTTTTCAAAATAATCATATAGGTAACTATTTTTATAAAGTCCTGTATCTCGAAAACTAAGCCGTTCCGAGCTGAAGTTCATAGAATAAATTCTTCTTATTTCATCGAGTACTATCGAACTATCTACCCAGCGAGCTCAAAACACTACTTTCGCAAATACACCAACACACAGCCACCGTACGTTCCAGACCCGAACCCTATCGCTTGCCTACCGCCCGCTGCAGCCGCTGGTACTTCTGATAGCGTCCTAGACCATCGCAGCGGCGACAAAATATCCTATCGGTGGGTTTTGAACTTCGTTATTTCAAAACTTTTATAAGGGTAATGTTTGGTGATTCTGTTTATTTTGATGTGTAATTGATCCTGTTAAAATATATAACTCACCTATTGAACTATTGAAAATGCTTGAACCAAATTTCCACATATCATTCTATACCCTAAAACAATTGATATCACAAAACAAGCAACGTCATTCTGGAGGAAGTTTCGAAGAAGGTTGTACAAATAATAAAAGAACAATCTTGTAGGGTATTGTTTTTTTAATTTCGTACAGAATACAATGAGAAATTGGAGTTTTTTCAAATAAAATCAATTTTCCTATAATATCGATGGAAACAGCCGTTTTTCTTTCAAAATAATCACATAGGTAACTATTTACTAAAAAGTCCTGTATCTCGGAAACTAAGCCGTTTCGAGCCAAAGTTTATAGCATAAATTCTTCTTATCTCATCGAGTACTATCTAACCAGCGAGCACAAAACACTTTTTTCGCGAATACACCAACACACAGCCACCGTACGTTCCAGACCCGAACCCTATCGCTTGCCTACCGCCCTCTGCAGCCTCTGGTACTTCCCGATGGCGTCTTGGACCATCGCAGCGGCGGCGAATATCCTATCGGTGGCTTTCAAACTTCGTTATTTCACAACTTTTATGAGGGTAATCTTTGGTGATTCTGTCTATTTTGATGTGTGATACTGTTAAAATATATAACTCACCTATTGAACTATTGAAGATGCTTGAACCAAATCTCCACATATCATTCTATACCCTAAAACAATTGATATCACAAAACAAGAAACGCCATTCTGGAGGAAGTTTCGGAGAAGGTGTTACAAATAATAAAAGAACAATCTTGTAGCGTATTGTTTATTTAATTTCGTACAGAATATAATGAGAAATTGGACTTTTCCCCATAAAATCAATTTTCCTATAATATCGATAAAAACAGCCGTTTTTCTTTCAAAATAATCAAATAGGTAACTATTTACTAAAAAGTCCTGTATCTCGGAAACTAAGCCGTTTCGAGTCAAAGTTTATAGCATAAATTCTTCTTATCTCATCGAGTACTATCTAACCAGCGAGCTCAAAACACTTTTTTCGCGAATACACCAACACACAGCCACCGTACGTTCCAGACCCGAACCCTATCGCTTGCCTACCGCCCGCTGCAGCCTCTGGTACTTCCCGATGGCGTCTTGAACCATCGCAGCGGCAGCAGAAATCCTGTCCGGAGTCATCATTGACCTCACGGACTCCTTGTCGATTCCGGTGAGTCCCGGAAAGGAGATGACGCAAATGGGGGTGAGCGAGCACAGGGCGGTGGTGAAAATGCCGCCGACGAGCAACAAGGCGGCGCCGCCTACAAGGAAAAGCCCGAATTTGGCTAGGGCTCTGAGGGTGAATTGCAGGGCACTCTGAAAAAAAAAAGAGAAAAGTTTTTTAGCGATCTGAATAATGTTGCGATGTTTGCTTTTTGCTATCGGGAATGTGTGATTTTTTCTGTGAATGTTCAATAGTTCATAGTGTTATTAATTTATTAATTCAAAAAACGACAATATAGAAATCTTGCTTCTTTAATTAACACATCAGATATTATCATTGAGTTACACTAGACACTATTTTACAACTATTCAAACCGATAACATCGAAAAAGTTCAAGGGGTGCTTTCATGTGATATTTTAGGAAATAAAGTTCATATAAACATGTCTCCTAACTTGCCTCGTTCTCGATATACAGGGTATTAATATTTCCATGAAAAATATTTTTTTCTATTCATTTCTTAAATGTCATTGCATCAATTTCAATGAAACGTTGTGGTTTTGTTAACCCCAATTAGAATCATTTTGAAATTCTGGGGCTTTCTCAGTCTCCATCCATACTGAATTTTGGCACCATGAAAGCTCATACAGCGAAGTTATGAATAAAAGCAATTAATACTTCCAACTTTAACATCCTGTATCTCAAAAACGGAGCAAGTTAGGACACATGATTATATAAACTTTATTTGCAAGAATGTCACAAGAAAACGCCCCTTGAATTTTTAGATACACCCTGTATAAGTCATGCATGAATTTTTTCTTCTATGCCGTTCATAAATCTCAATATTTGCATCGAAATCTAAAAATTTTTTCAAGATACAATTTCCAATCCCAAAATCTCTCTAAAAGCCAACAACAATTCGTTTTTCACGGCAGTGTCACTGAACTGTTTTTTCTTACCTGTTTTTGACAAAACAATGAGGTACATTGTATGTCTTCAATTTCATTTACTCACATGATAAAACCTAGTGTTACAGTTTTGGTTATTATTAGAGTCCCTGTATATACCTTAGATAAGAGTCCGGACACAGCTATACTTCTGTCCTTTTCTGTTTTCAAAAAATGCATTGATGAATGAATAAAGGAATAAGACATATATATCGAGCTCTGTCTTTTCAATTCCCCTAGTATCAATGATTGTCAGAAACAATTTTGAGGGTTAGATTATTTGTCAAACCGTTCATAGCCGTAGGAAGAAGTGAGAAATAGGGCTATTTTAACTATAATAACTATTAAATAATAATAATAACTTGAATCCCTTTTCTGATGAATTATCGCAATAATGTACGCAGCAGAAAATTGAAATAATTTAAAATGCTAAATTTTGGCGGTCATAAAATTTCAAAGTGACAGTGACAGAAATTCGAAATAACCAAAAAAAGCGGACTATGATGTTTCGTCACATTGTCAGATGGGCAAACCAAATGAAACAAAATATTGAAAACCCCAACAGCTGTCAGTTTTGTGTCCGGACTCTTGTATAAGGTATATACAGGGACTCTAGTTATTATTATACAATGAATGTCACGTCGCCCACGAAATGTAAATGTATATTCTTCTGATGACAGCTTTACACTTTGCAAAATATTATTCCAATTTCCATAGCAAACTATGTTTTTTTGCATTTGAATTGTGAAATATAATAAGCGATTTTTGGAGGAAATTCGACTCCACCACCTCTTAATCGTGAAATTTCATTTGAAAATGTTGATTGGCAAAAAAGTTATGACATTTTCCTTCATACCATTTTTCATGAATATTTCAGACAAATTCTGAGAAGCGGCAACATTGTTAACACAAATGTAGAATTATTGCAGTTTCTGGTAGACATTCGAATTCATAACATAAATTATTCTCGAGGTATAACATCTAGAATTGTGCCATTCTGGATCAAAGTAATGAATTTTTCCCATAAATACCTATTCATAATGTCCCATTTGAAATAGGAATATGACATTTTAAAAATATTGAACGGAATTAATCATGTTTGAATGCTTGAGCGAGCAAATTTAGTTCTTCATCATCAATCCGGCAAACCATATGAATTTTTGCTTGAATTTTTTGCTTTCTTTGTTTGAAAATTGAATGTTCTTAGATCTTTCATAAAACCACTGAAACATAGAATCTCTTGATATGTTTTTCAATGCTTACCATCACATGAAGAACCATGGAGAGAAGCGGAAGTACCTATAGGATTGTTAATTTTGTTAGTAGGTATTATAATTTAACTCCAGAGTAGGTATATATCATCAAAACGTAGCGTATTGAAATTCAAGCATCTGAACACGACCATCGTAATCTATTCAGTTGCTATGATTCGAATCAAAAGATGAATATCACCTTCTCAGGGCAATATGTATACAAATTTTAGGCATCCGTGTTTCTCATAAAAGTAATGACGTTAAACCTGAACCACCCTGTATGAGTGATAGCATTCAGTATAATCTCTGATCAATGAAAATATTTCGAATCTTTCATGGAAACCCTGTACTTTTGTCAAATGTGAAATGTATGCGTTACACTTGAGTTACTTACTATTCTGTGCCAACCAAAATGATCAGATTGTCATCCCGTCAGAATCATTTCCTTGTTATAATAGTAGATTGTTTTATTAGGATCAAAAGTGACACTTTGTTTGACAAGCGAACTTTGCATTTGCGAGGCGGAGCGTTTAGCGAAGCCGAGCGAAAGCAAAATTTGCGAGTCGAACAAAGTCACTTTTGATCCGAATGAAACATGCTATTTTTTCTGCAACCGAAACAATTAACTCAAATGAACATGTGAAGTAACCACCAATGCCGTGCCATATGTATGCAATGCAACAAATATTGACAAATAATCCATGTAGTGAGATTATTCTACCTGCATTAACAGCAAGTTAGGTTTTCTAGGATGTTCGAATTGTAGTTTCAATATAAATACAACCACAGAGTGACATATTTGTGTATGGACCAGGTGCTCTAATGGAAGATACCGCGCCAGTGCCAGCTATAGGAACAGGACGTGGAAAATGTTAGGTTAGTGAGCATATCAACAATGATAATAGTGATTATTTATTCCTCTCCATACAACACTGTGTTTGATTTGATAATCAAATGAAGCTAAACAACATCGTTGTTTGAGACAAAAAACCGATTGCTTGCCGTGATTATTCGAAAACAAGTTATCCATCCCGAGAATAACGAATGAAATACAGATCAAGCAAGTATTTGAATCTTGAAGGCTTCCCTGATCAAAACAAAAATACTTAACTGAGATGTTTATAATTAATTCCAATACCAAACTTTTATAATAAGGTGTATTTATATCTCCAGCATGGCTATGAAATGCCAAATCTGCTGAAATCGGAAACAAATCAGGTATGCGTCTCAACCCAAATAACCAACCGTCACAATGTTGTTCATTCTCGATGACGTCCAGTACATCCTTTTTAGTTCCTAGGAGCTAAAGTTCAACTTTAGCTCCTAGGAACTAAAATTCAACTTTAGCTCCGAGGAACTAAATATGTTGCCTAGCAACATACCTATTTTTGTGTCAGTAATAGAAACGTCAATTTAAGAGCTAATTTTGGTATCAAAATGGACGACTTTTGTGTCGGTTGCAGAAAAAGGCAATTTCTATGGCCGAGAATTGAACAACACGATAAAAATGTTTATTGTTCGTAATGGCCCGTCTCAACCAGATATAAATTTTCCAAAAGAGGAGTTTCTCTAATTTTTATTATTCACAGAAAAGTCATGCCAGGTCATGCTGGGCAAATTATTCACAGAAAATGGTAAATAAAGCATATTGTGAAGCTTGTTGCTTATTCAATATAACTAATAGTTCATGGAAATAAGGGACTTCTGACTCAAAAGGTTTGTCTCGAGAGGGGCCAAAATATGAAATTACGCCACTGGTTGGCACAATGCTCTTATATCTTATAAAACCACATGAAATACTTCATAACAAATTAGGAAATAATAAATAATACACCTATCGCGATCACTTTGGATGTCATCATAGATCTAAATACACACTAATGATATTTTACTCAGTATGCTACTGGATTTTTGGTAAAACCGATGATTTTGGTTGGCACAGAATGTAGATCAGAAGTAGGTAACTCCCAAAAGTATAAAATGTTAAAATAAGAAGTATAAAGAATGGATTTACAAAAAAAATGTCCAATAGATTTTCTCAAAGTACATACCTGTGTGGCCGGTATCAGCGAAGACATATACCCCCCAGACGGCGTTTCTTGGTACACCGGTACCGCTACCGGTTTCTGGTGGGGGTAGTAGACGTCGTACCCGTACCCGTCTACGTAGGGGTAAGAGGGGGGGCGGCGCAGAGGGAAAGGCGCCGCGGGGGGTTGTTCGGGAGGCTGGAAGACGGGTTGGGGGGCTGGAGGGGGCGGCGGCGAGGTGGAAGAGGGGTCGTTATCGGTGGAGGCGAGTTGGCAGAGAGAGGGTAGGAGGAGAAGGAGGAGGAGGGTGGGCATCGTGTGTAGTGGTGGGATGTTGGATTTGGGGTACATAACGTTATCTGAAAAAAAAAAGAAGTTTTTTCTGTGACGGGAAAAAAGTTTGGCATTTCATCTCTGTTGGCAGGTTATAAAATGTCACTTTTCATAAATTACTTTTTTCCCGTGGGAAAAAAGTGAGTACTTCTTTCCCGGATATATATATCACATATATATACTCTGTTAATGGCTTTTGTTGTGCTATAGTTCCGAAAAATGAGTCAATAATACCGTCTCCGAGAAAGAACTGCAAGTTCTTTTATCTTCCATTCGACTTCGCGGTTTCGTATATTACTAAACAACTATTGAATTCGCAATTTTTTAAAATCAAATCACAGAATTGAACTGACAGAAGTGACATCAGATATTTGATTACTTCAAAAGAATGATAAAGATGTCTATAAAACGCAGGTGTCCCTACTGTTAAAAACTTGAAATTTCACGTCGATAATTTTCAGATTTCGAAATAATGTAATATCTTCTCAATATTGATTCGTCCTTCCTTCTGTCACAGAAAAAAATAGTGTATTATACACGGGAAAAATATTAGATTTTAACTCACGGTTTTTTGTCTCCCTCCGCTACGCGTCGGGAGACAACACAACCTGGAGCTAAAATCTACTACTTTTTTCCCTTGTATAATAAATAACTATTTTAGACTGAGTACACGGAAAAAAAAAGTGTAGTTGCATCAACAAAATAATATTATTTGTTTAATACACTCTTGAAGAGATCAGATATACATGACAAACCGACTCGTTCACGTGACTGCTACACAGTCCCCAAGCACAATACTGCCCAATTCCAGAGATGTTTTTCCTATGTGTCCACACACGTTTTTAATACCTTACCTACCTGTCCACGTCAGATCTGCCTAGACTATCAACATGTTCAAAGCACATGCCAAAGCCTGTATACATAATATGAGAAACACCAACTCTTGACGAGTAGATCAAACTATCAATTCAATATTTCAATTTGTTGTTCTATCATATCAATTATTCATATAATTTATATCATTATTATCATTATCATTATAATTATTATATGCTTTTTATAATTTATATAGTATATTATATACACCTAGTATGTTTCATGCCATTTTCAACAGATTACAGGTAATGAGTTATTATTTTGATCATTATGATCACTGTCACAGCCGTCTGATGTTAAATATGCCTTTCTACTTGTTGGATATTCAGGGGGTTGTATCGTTACCACCGATGGTTGTATCTGAATACCGCCTCCTTTATGTATCGTTTGTTTATGAATGTTGTTAATAAAGAATAAAGACACATTATTATTATTATTATAATTATTAACAAAAAAACTATATTTCTGACAAAGTAACCACGATTTACGGTACTTCCATCAGAGATAAGTTACCAGACTTATCTCTGCTTCCATGTCCGATTGCTTAAACACCCTGTATGTATATACAGAATGAAGCAAATTCAAATTTGTGAATGTAGAAGCCGCCATCTATGATATGATTATCCAACTACCAAGAGTTTCCTCGAAAGAAAAACATGGTGAAACAGAAACGTAGTGTGCTGACAGATGTGAAAAAGAAAACTGCAAATGACGATCTCTGTAATTCGTTTTAAAAACTTCGAGGATATTATCAGTAAATATTCTTGGGTATTCAAATAAAAATACTTACAGGCGCCTACAAATGGACTAGCTGAGCGAAGCCAACGAAACATATATTGAGTGTTTTGAGTACCTACCTATTATTTGTTGTTACATCACATGCATAAATAAACTGAACACTTACATAGCATACAGGGTGATACCGATGAGCTGAAAGAAGGAGAATTCTTCGATCGTCAAGAGAATAATGCTATTTATTTTTTGTAAAATATAGGTAAATCTTTGTAGTAATAATGGATAAATGGTTATTATATATAGATATTCCTCATAAGTAACTCTGTATACAGAGTGTGAAGGACACACTTATTAATATATGAATAAGACATCCTCTGTATTTAAGCTATATTTTTGAAAACAGATTTGATTTTCAGTCCCGCGAAAAGAGCAAATTCTCGATATTTTGCTTCGCGTTGTAGATACCGAAAAAAGTTTGGAAAAAGTTGCTTAGAAATCTATTTAGGACCTATATTTACATACCGAATTTCAACGCAAAATTAAAATTTTGAATTCATTGTGCTTGTCTCAAATTCGATTGATGGTTCAGTAGTAAAAAGGAAAGAATTAATGATTTAGTCAGAGTTGTCGGAATCAATGGAATAAAGGATAGAAATAATAACTAAAATTAATTGAACATTATTATATTTTCAAACGTAAGTTAATCGAATTTAGTCTCATCCTTTACTAGCCTATCTCTTGAAATTCAAAATCCGAATTTCGCGTGGTCTACCGTCTGTACCAAAAATCAAATTTTCGCATTCAAAAATGACAGAAATACAGGGGTGTCTTCATGTTAAGTGTGTCACACTGTATTTACAGGTTTTGAAACTTTTTTTTGTTGGAATTCTGAAATATGCGTCGAAATTTAAATTCCAATAATGTTTGGTGAGATAATTTCATAATATCCGAACTTGATGTTAGAATATTGAGCGGAGATGTTTTGCCCACATCATAATTATATCTATAGATACTTACCCTACAAAACAATTTCAACGAAAAAAATCTGACCACTAGCACTAGTCGAGGATCAAATCACTGTGTCAAATGTTTGGGTAATTCTGGAAAAATATTTTATAGTCTTTGGCTTTTAGGGTGGGTGAATATGATAAATAAGTAAAGTACCTTCCCTATCGTTTCTCCCTTCCCTTGCAAAAAGTACCTAAGTAGAAGATACCAGGAAATAGGGTATAATCCTGAAGATAAGATTAGGTACTTACCTACCTACACAATTTAAGTGACAGTTACAAGTATGCTAAAAATATCAGGTATTTTATTTATGGTTATAGCCATTATTCATCTATTTTCAGTTCAAAAATGCTAGAATTATTAACAAATAATGATAAATTATGTTTAAGAATTGCTTTTAGCCAGTAAATGTACAGATTCTGATAAAATTATTTTAATTTTAACCTAACTAAACTTTTCCCTTCTCAATGACAATATCGACAGGTTAAGTGAAATCTCATGTTTTGGGATAATTGCTGGTCATAAATAACCTGAAATGTATGGGGGATAAAGATATTTAGTAAAAATGTTAGGCATGGATTTCGGCTTTTAAATATTAATAAATACTGGGTGGTTCAGAAATTAGTTAAATTGTAGTATGGGAGATGATAGGCAATTTTACTATGATTGAAAATAGCCCTTTTTATATGGCGAACGGTCTCATACATTACTCAGTATATCAAATAGCACTTCCTCTCATCTATTGATTCCTTTTTACAACCGTTTAATTAATACTTCAAAAGTATGTGGCGGTGTGACGTCACTTGTATTTTCTTGAGGCTCCCTCTGACGACCCGAAGAAGAAGAAAAAGATTAACCTCGAAATCTAGTTCATTATTTCATTTCATTTTCAGTGATCTATCAGTGTCATATTAGTGATATTCTTTCAATCTGAATTAACTGAAATATTTTACTTGAACTAAACTAAATCAGTTAATATGCGTTCTTTCAAATGACGTTCATTGTATATGTCAACTGTCAACTGTTATCATATTGGTGGTCTTCCATACCTGAATTTGGTTGAAAACCGAGGTGGAAAGCAGGACAAGCTGTATATAAAATTTCGGTTTCAGATGAAAAAAGATACATAAAATATATTACTTTTTATTATAATGAATTCGAGAAACAAATTTGAGACTTATATACCACATTAATATATGACATAAAAATAACAAAACACATAAATTAAAAAAAAAACAAGACACCCACACTATATATTTCGATGATTTCTCACTATTTTCTTCAATCCTCCTTACTAGTATCAGCTCCATCATTCTAAAAAATAACAAGAATATCTTTGTAACTATACAGTTCCACAACTACCAATTATGAAATTACCTCTTCTCTATTCAATAACTGAGAGCTCAATCTCTGGCTCATTATTCTATATTGGAGCTTCACTTTTTCCTGGAACTTCGACGGAATTACAGAAATTGTAGTCAGAGTATTTCCCACAAATAAAATGAAGAACATCAGACTCAAACATGGTACCTGAAAATATAAATTTCATAATCCATGAATCTAGGGAAAAAACAATCAAATGGAAATGGAAAATATTCCTGATTTTGATTGGACATTCCCGAGGAAATTGCACTTACATGCCATGTTATTTTTTCATCGTAACTCAACGAGAACAATGTGTATGCATTGTACAATTGGAAAATGTAACCTCCGAATAAGAAGGGCAACAGAAAGCTGAGTCCACGCCACATCCAAGAATGGAAACCTTCTATCGTTATATCCATATTGTGTCTTTCTCCTAGTGCTTTCAACCTGTACAAAACCCCCCTTTGGTATCTGAACTGCAGATACTGAACAAGACCTAGAAAAATTCAGACATCAATTTTCTCACAAATATTGTCAAAAGATTTGGGTTCCCATTTTGATTCCTATTATTTTTTTTTATTATTAAAAGCTTCTATTTAACTTGCATTGTATATTTGTATGGATGTATGTATGTTCATGTGGAATCTTTCAATTTTGAAGAAGTAGAAATCTTCAACCGATTGAGCTGAAATTTTGTATACATGTTCAGTTCGGATGACAATGCACGATAAGGTGTGTCACGTTATTCTAAATCCAATATGGCGGACTATCCAAGATGGCGGAATAGCTATTTTTGATATACTTTTACAATATGGGTATCAAATGAAAAAGCTCGTTGAGAGTAACTCGAAAAATGATGTGACGTTATTCTAAATCGAATATGGCGGACCATCCAAGATGGCGGAATGGTCATTTTTAATCTACTTTACAATATAGGTATCAAATGAAAGGGGAAAAAAACAAGTCCACTTCTCTTTGTATCCATGGTTGCTAGATGTTAGTTTTGAATGATTTTTCTTTACAGATTTACTTTTATGCTTTGACTGATGATGACCGTTTGAACGGTCGAAACATGTCTCACGAAACTGTTATGAAGCAGAACTAACTGCATTTCTCTTATTAAATTTGTGGAGACGACTTTGGGTTTTTCTCTATGATTCAATATTTTCAAAAAAAATTCTGATCAGGAAATTAATTACCAGTTTAGCAACGCAGGAGTTTGAGAAAAATACTCATAATTTGCATCATTAACCTAATATAAAAAATTCTCCTGTCCCGGTCATGGTGTTAGTGGTCGAACTCCTCCGAATCGGCTCGACCGATTCGTATGAAACTTTTGGGCGTGTTCGGCAGGTATGAGAATCGGTCGTAATCTATTTTTTAAATCGAAAATTCAAGATGGCGGATCCAATATGGCGGACGAGTATTGTTATCCGATTCCATTCAAAATTGGTATCTAGAGGTTTTCAAGGTCAGAGATTATGATTTTTTATCAAAATTAGGTAATTCAAAATGGCGGATCCAATATGGCGGACGAGTTTTGTAATTATGGTCAGATTCTATTCAAAATTGGTATCTGGGGGTTTTCGAGGTCGGAGATTATGATTTTTTCATCAACATTAGGAAATTCAAAATGGCGGATCCAATAAGGCGGACGAGTTTTGTAATTATGGTCAGATTCCATTCAAAATTGGTATCTGGGGGTTTTCGAGGTCAGAGATTATGATTTTTTATCAAAATTAGGAAATTTGAAATGGCGGATCCAATATGGCAGACGAGTTTTGTAATTATGGTCAGATTCCATTCAAAATTGGTATCTGGAGATTTTAGAGGTGGGAGATATGAATCATTTGTCAAAATGACGAAATTCAAAATGGCGGATCCAATATGGCGGACGAGTTTTGTAATTATGGTCAGATTCTATTCAAAATTGGTATCGGGTGGTTTTCGGAGTCGGAGATAATGATTCTTTCATCAAAATTAGAGGATTGAAGATGGAGGAACCAATATGGCGGACGAGTTTTGAAATTATTATCCAATTCTATTCAAAATTTGTATCTAAGGGGTCGGAGATTCATGATTTCATTCTTAAAAAAAGTGAAATTCAAAATGGCGGATCCAATATGGTGAGAGAGTTTTGTAATAAATAGTAGTTTGGAAAACTATAATGAAACATGCTTTCATAGATATTTATCTAAAAAAAAATTTTCTAGAAATAATGTTTATGGCAAAAACAACGTTTGCCGGATCAGCTAGTATTATATAATATTCAACAATGTTTTTTCTCTACTTGTTTGAAACAGAACATGGTTGTACAAAATCCCTTCAAAATGTCTGTCTGTATAAAAGTATGCTGTAATATAATCAATGAATTGCAATGTGAATATACTAAAATGGAAACAAAAAACAATATATCCATGACTGTATAAAATATTCATAATACATGTACTTCCTCAAGCAAAATGGTAGCCATTTTTCATATCAGTGAATAATAGCAGTCAATAACCATAATTAACTGGTCTACAGTTCCTAGGGTACATGATATAACATAAGGAACTTTACACCAGTGAATAATGGTTATTCACCACTATTATTCACTGGCGTGAAAATTGGTTATCATTTTGCTTGCAGAAGTACAAAAGTCGTGGACAAATAATTAATATAACAGGTATCTTCAATGTTTAGTTTTCTTTATGTTAAAAGAGTTATGATGAAACAGTTGTTAAAAATGAATTTATCAATCAAAAACTATAGCAGTTGTGGACAAAGTATAGTATTCTACTAGCATATATTATTCACTGAGGTTAATTAACCTTTGTTATTATATGCTTGTTGAGTAATATACTATTGTTTGTGCAGACAGTTGAGCCATCATTGAATTAAGAATATTATAAGATAAATATTTGTACAATAAAACTGGAGCACTTACTGATATAGATATTGAACAGCATGAACTGATTTCTGAAGTATGACCAACTGTCATTGTCAGGCCAAATCAACAGTATCCCAGCAGCAACAGTGGACAAGAAATGATGTAACCGCCACCATCCCCTGATTCTGGAACCATTAACCTTCAAAATGCTCTCTCTGATGGTCAGAGTGCAGTAATACCAGACCAACAAAAAAATGTAACTCAGTTCCAAGGGCCTGAATCTCACGAAAAAATTGAGTATGGCCATGAGGATACCTATCATGCTGAGAATCAGTTTGAATTTTTCATATTCATCTTTATACTTGAACCTTAAATGAAAAATAAAATGAAATGGGCAAGGTGAATGCAGCAGAACTCCAAATACTGTACATTTAATGACCCCTATTTTCCACTTACTTCCCTTCCTTGTTGAGTATTGAGACATTGACATTTCCTAAAATTATTTTCAAATAAGTACCATTAGGTTTTGGTAAGGTTTGTTCAATTTCATACAATTGAGCTTTTCTTTTCATTATGTTACTTCTCACATCTTCTAGTTTTTTGTCATCTACCTTTTTTTTCCTTAAACTGAGATAAAAAAAATCTAATCAACATACTAAAACTACTGAGAACCCAATGCCAAATATAGGTATTATTTCATCAATGGATAGATGATGAATATTTAAAAAATATATCAAATCTAGTAGGTATGATAAAAATAGATGAGACAGTTCCTTGATTCAAGAATTAATATGATCTGTAGATTAATAGAATAATATTATCTATGATAATAGGGCATGATTAAAATAAATAGCATTTGGCTAAATGTAAAAATAATTTGCAAGAAAAACAATGATTTGCATCAATGTCACCTACAATCAATTTACAGTAAACAGTACAAGGTGAAAGTTTCAAGGGTAATCAGAACAAAAGACTACTTACTCTTTCAGTGATTTTGATATGCTGGCTATTCGATACCTTTGATGAGCAATATGATTCAAGCATATTTTCTGGATATTGTTTACTTCTTCTAAACGTTGCAAATATGCTTTGTTGTCCACCTGAAACGTTGAAAAGATGTAAACATTTGAATAAAGAACTGCTAAGAACAAGAATGATAGACCAAGTTATTGGTCCAATGCTGTTCAAAGGAAACATACCCATGGAGAAAATTAGATCTATGATCTCATCAGCTTTCTTGATTCTCATTTTTGAATTGATTTTATTCGGGATCAAGGATCAAAAAGGAATGGAAACTAGGAATCTGGACTAACCTCTAATTGTTTGTAATCGGCATTTAGTTCCTCCCATTCCTCAACGATTTGCTCAGCCATGCTTTCAATGGAATAAGTTCCAAAAAGTGGATTGAAGGTGATGTGCTTGTGCTGTGCTTCTTTAGATTTATAACTTATAAATTAATGATTTGTTTCTCTATGCGGCTTCCCAGTGCTTTTACTAATTTAGCTTCGAATTTGAATGAATTATTGACTTTGACTTGACACTAAATGACAGTTGACAGTGACGTTGCCAAAGTGTCAACGTCAAGTTGATAATATTTCATGATCTCTATGGGTTGATCTCTGAATTCACGAGAGCCTAAAGTTTTCGCACCATTCCTAAATCTGTACGCATTCGCCATATGCATTCGCTTGAACGAAACCCACGGGGTATCGAGAGGAAGGAAACACACCCTTGAAAGCCTAAATCACTACACAAATATCACACACAGTGAGCAGTGGACCAGAATAAAACTCCCTGACCGAACAGCCTCCACAATTTCATTGCGAAGAATACGAAAAAAACACCTACTATTCTTTGACATAACACGTGATGGGAGTGGTTCGAAAGATTTAGGCACTTCTCTGAATTCGAGGAGTACTTTGCTTCGTGGGCTATCCCTCTTCGCTGGGCTATCCGGAGTCCGGCATACTCTGCTCAATACGCATGAACCCCCAGAGGTTTGTACTAGTTTGTAGTAATGTATCTGTATCTCCCACATCATCTATATACATGGGAAAATCCTGTAGTGGGAAAACCCTTCTCCAGAAGAGTTTTAGATAACATTTTTTATGGTAGGTTATATCACATAAATTGATATTTGCCTCCGCCGCTGCACAACAAATAAGCAAATCCTTGATGGTGTTCTACTAAGCGCAACAATAAATAATGAGAGCACAAGTGAGAGTATTTCAATTCATCACAATCTAATCTGAATATCACTGCTGATAATTAGTTGTTCCCATTTATTGTGATTTGTGACATAAGGAACTATAATCCATGGACGCGGAACAAGTGATAGGTCCAGGAAATCCCGAACTGGAAATTGGTACTAACAGTACTAACAAAACAACCATCACAGAAGTCCAACAGACGAAAAAAAGGCGTCCGCCACCACCACCGCCACCTGGATTGAAAGACGATCTGACAACTATAGCGCACGTCAGTGTTTTGTTGTTTGTAGTACTAATTTTGTATTTGTGTTTCTGCAGGCCATTCGAATTCTTCACTTGGCACCCTTTATTGCTGTCTTTAGGGGTAAGTGAATGGTTCATTTACAATGAAATAAATAATTCATCCAGTGTTCAGGTTGAATACATTCAAGGTCACGTCATAATTTGCACGATTTCTGATAAAAAGCACTTGTTGACATAACACCAGCCACCTGTTGATTCTAACCTCAAAATATTAGATTTTAAAGAACTGTCAATATCAGGTGTTGGTTTTGTTTTCAGTGGATGCTTCTCATGACTGAAGGTGTCCTGATCATCTCCAAGGAAAACCCAATAGGCAGAAGACTTCGTCTGAACCACACATTGAAACTGCGCTACCATTGGATCATCATAGCTATCGCCCTCGCCCTCATCCTTGCAGGGTTTCTGGTGATAGTCATCAACAAAAATAACCTGAACAAACAGCATTTCAAGACCTGGCATGGGCTCTTTGGCCTGCTGGGAATTATAGGCTGCCTGCCAGCTGTGATGAATGGTACTGCAGCCCTTTTTGATGCTGAACTGAAAAGTTTCATAAAGCCTAGTACTATCAAGTTGATTCATCAAGCTAGTGGCAGTGTAGCCTTCATTTTTGGAGGCCTAGCTGTTATTCTAAGTGTTTATTCAAAGTGGTTTGGTAGGGCTTCTGATAATAACAGGTATTTGTTTATGTTGGGCCTTACCACTAGTGTATATTGTTTTCTATGGGCATTACAGAGGCCTTTGCTGAAGTGTTTTAGGAAAATGTTTCAATTGAATATTTAGACTCATTCAAACTAGAGCCAATTACTTAAATTGAATATTACCACTTGGTAACACAAAATGCTGTCTCAATCTGTCTTAGTTAATCAAATAAATAAATAAATATGAGAGTACCTTATAACTTCTAGCATATATTTCTATCCTTACAAATTACACCACATAAAAAATTGAGTCCTACTCTTCAGGCTCATCCTGTTTGAATTTTCCATTGTAATAAGGCAAATAGTCGACTACCACTCTCCAGTCAGTAAAATAACAGAGGGTAACTCCCGCAGTCGCCCCAAAAACTGTTGCTGAACCAATCCTGGAGAATTAAAGAGGTGTGCAGTTATTACATAATTAATGAACTTTTATGCTTACCAATGCGAGAGAAGTTCTAAGTGCCTCCTGCCCATCGACCTGAATAAGGACATTTTAGAAGCGACTCCTACGACAGACAATAACTTTCAAATGATTATTAATTCCTCTCTAATTTATAATCCTGGTATCTTGTATCTAGCAGGACTGCAATCTGCATTGAAAAATCACAGTCAGTCTTCCCAGAATGACAATTGACAACTGACACAACCACTGAAATATTTAGACTGAGATGCTTATAACTATGGTGTAATCATTTAGTAGTGGAAAAGTTTCGTCAAAAGTTCTCGATGAAATCTGACAGCCGCCAACTTGATTGGTCTGTGTGTTCTAAGATCGGCCATGCTTTCCTAAAACACCGCGAGAGGCGCGAGAATCGCAAAATGGCAGAACGTCCAAAATCTCTAATTTTTATTCAAATGAATGATGAAAAAACTTGTAAAAAGTAAAAAAGTGATTAGTGATTAGTGATTTCTTCTTCATGTTTGAACTGTGAAGTGCATTTTTGGTTGGCAATCCGAACTTCCTGAAGAAGTATAAGGTAGTTTCCACTGGCTGTTTGAAGACCACAATTTCACTTCACAGTCTTTTCCATGTGTTTTCGCCTGGGTTTTCCACAATTTTTGTGTTTGTGTATGAACATCTCATTATCTGAGGTCTGAGATCTCAGATACAATTCAATACAATACCTCCAGAATCTGGAGTTATCTTGTGTGAAGAACTGGCATTTATGAATCATTTTTACACATGTAAGTATTTTTCTGGGATTCCTCATAATCATGACACTGAGTAAGACACCCCATGTAGGGAAGGAGGCATAGAGCAGTACTTGATCATCATGTTCATGATGCATGAATTCATATTGCATTTAACTTGAAAAATGAATTGTAGATTGTGACAGAAGCTGATCAGTATCTAGATTAATGTCAGAGTATATGCTAATTATTGCTTTTATTATGCTTTGAAGTAGTTACCTTATATGAATTCAACTGATTGTTTCTTCAAAGCATTTTATGAAAATCAATCATTCATCAGGGAAAATAATTTTCATCATAATATCAATTTGATCTTCAATCAAATTTATAGGATAGATATAAGATATAGATATCTGTATAAAAAAAGCATATCCCAGTTCATAATTTCATATAAATGCTAATAATATCAAATATGAAAAAAGCTAGAACAGGATAATTATATTCTATTGATCCTACAGATGAATAATGTAAATTTCAACCCCAACTATCATAACTCTGATGAATCTAATTCCCTCATTTTATTCACAGACATTTCAAAGAGCATTCTGGAAACCAGTTTCATCTGAATGTTCTGAAAAATAGAAGAAATGTTGAAAATAATGATGCCTACCTGATGCAAGAAGGATTTATACCAAGTGAATAAATGGATGAATAAACATAAATAAACATCAGAATCGGCAGCTCCCAAAATATTATCAGAAACCACAGGTTAGTATTTGCTCATATCATTCTTCTGTCTAGAATTAGATATTGGTAAAAAATCCATCTATCACATACAATACAATTCACTACCAAATAACTTGAAGCCTTGAAGCTGATTAATAGTATTGAAAAATTCAAAAAGGAATTCAAGAAACATATACTCCTGTAATATTGACATCATAATTATGTCATTTTAATTGTTTTCTTGTACATTTACTATAGTTTTCCATTGGGTACCTAACAGAGTCAATTCAGAATCATTTTCTGTTGAGCTTAAAAAAAAACAAATGATTTCTTCTTGAGTGTGAGTCTTATTTTACTGTTTTATTTATTTTGTCAAATATATCTATATATTCACCATGTTCCCTGCTATAAAAAAACATCATTTCTTGGGAAGAATAAATTTGATTGATTGATATTGAATATTGATAGAGATTTGAAATCATACACTACAAAATAGCAAAACATGTCTATATTTGATGTCATTGACATGGAAATGTTCAACCAACCATGTAATACACAGAATCAAAAGTATTTTCATCATGTAATTGTAATTTTCCTAATTTCCTATGATATATGAGATGACTATGTATACATGTGTGCATAAAGAATAATAGGGAATCAATATCAGGAAATAGCTGGAAAAAAATGTTTACAAATTGCACATTGAAAATAAAGAGTTCCTAGAAGAAATCATATAATTACAAGGTGATTTTGAAATAAGTACATATATATCAAACACATGAATATGATAAAGTTGTGACAAGTATTCCCAAAACATTAGATTTTGTATAAGTCTTCTATTTGAGGAGACATTCCATCTTGGAAAGAAAAAATGTATTGAATCAAGTATATAATGTACAACCAACATAGGTCATAGGCTATCAACCAAACTCTATTTCTTGAAAATTGATAAAAAATACAATAAGTTCTTTTCTGGTATAAGTTCATGTTGAGGATCATCATCAATATCCTTAATTTCCATGATTTCAGGTGGGATACAAGATTGGGAGGTGGAAGGTTCTTCAATGGGAATAGTAGGACTTTCATCCATACATACATCATCACAGAGGCTACAAATGGAAGGAAGTTAATTTCAATGTCAATTTATCATCATTTATTTGGTTGATTTATTGATATACAGGGTGTCCCTGAATTTTTTTTACAAAATGATACCATAGACAAGCATAGACTCGCATAGACTACTGAGATCAAAATGAGATAATTGAACTTATTTCACCTCTATATCAAATTGCTTTGTTTTTCATGGTTTGGTACCCTTTAAAATTATTTAATAATTTCAGGTAAGTACCAATTTCCTTTTCAAAGAGAATCATAGATGATATCTGATATTTAGGACATTTTAGGAATTTGAAATACTGTGTAGAATTATGTATTACATATTTATTTCAACGCCCTGTAGGGGCTAACCAATACATTTTGGTATAGAGGTTGAAGTTTAGTCCAATTATCTTATTATGGTCTCAGTAGTCTGTGTGTGGTATCTGGTATCATTTTTCATTTGATTAGAGTAACCTAGGGTAGCAAATGTAATTATTGTATTTTCTCCACATTTTTGTAATATGTAAGTATTTTATATTTATATATCAAAATATCAACTAGATTTCCAATATATTTTACTGAAATATGTATGTGTATGCTGGTGTTATTGTATCATATTATTATTATTGAAATAAATATATTTTTTCAAATACTGTCTGTAGTTTAATCAAGGAGGTGCAGTACATTCATTATTCCAGATTTTTTTGGGTTTTCTCCTTGTTTCTATGGAATAAAAATATGTATATTATTTCAATATACCTGTAGTAAGGACAAATCAGATGATTTGTCCCAAAATGTAACTGCCTTTAAAGAATTTTCCTATCAGAGAGCCTAAAAGAAAAATTTACTAGCTTGTTAGTGACAATTTGTATTGAAACAAGTTTGGAGATGAGAAATAAAGGTATATAGAAACAATTTCAAATTTTTACTTAGCTTTGGACGTTTCAGGAACGAATCTGCTCACGTTTTCAACATAAAAAATGGATATTTGAATACCAAATTCATATTTCTCTTGGCACCTTCCAGTTCTCGGCAATGAAATGAGTTACAGGATGTTATCATTAATAAATCTCTAATTTACCATTTTCATTGATAGAACATGCTATTCACTTCTGAAATCTGAAGATGAAAATGGTAAATTCAAGATTAATTGATGAAAACATCCTGTAACTCATGTCAATAAGTGCAATATGAATTTGATATTCAAATATCCATTTTTTTATGTTGAAAACAGGAGCAGATTCGTTTCTCAAACGTCCAAAGCTAAGTAAAAATTTGTTATTTTTTCTATATATACATACCTTTATTTCTCTCCAAATTTTTTTCAATACAAATTGTCACTGACAAGCTAGTGAATTTTTCTTTTAGGCTCTCTGATAGGAAAATTCTTTAAACACAGTGACATTTTGGGGCAAATCATCTGATTTGTCCTTACTACATATATATTGAAATAATATTCATATGTTTATTTCATAGAAATGAGAGGAAATTCCAAAAAATCTGGAATAATGAATATTTTTTTTACTTTCAATAGTCATATTAAAATAAAGGAAAGTTTCAGGTCCATTAGAGACACTCCCTATGATCATCTCTAGGGTAGTTGTGTTATTTTATTTTTGAATAAAGGATAATAGGTACCTTGATCCTATTACGGTATCCTCAACTGTTAGTTCCATCAGACTTGTTGGGTCAGGTGAGGTACATGATTATTGGGAGGTGGAAGGTTCTTGAATTGAAATATTAGGACTTACATCCATGCATAAATCATCATATAGTCTAAAAAAGGAAGAAAATCAATTTCAATGTCAAGATCTACAAGTATTTTTTTATTATTCTATACATAATAAATAATTACAAAATTTTACAAGCTACAGCTAGGCTATGTAATAATCAGTTTAGAAAATCTAAAGCACTCTTTATTGAAAGAGTTTTAATATCATTCTTGAAAATAGTGCATTTTCTTAATTACTGTTCTTGCAAACCTTCAAAAAGCAGTGTAATTTATAATGAAAATATCAATGGTTTTCTGATGGGAGACCACAGGACTCAGCAAGGCTAACAAACAAATACTTCTACTACAAATATGCTCACCAAATTTCAAGAAGATTCTCCAGATATATTATATATAGTATAACATTTTTTTAACTTCAAACCATCTGTTGAAAACAAAGCATTTGAAATCTATATTTATATGTTTTTTCTTATTTTAATGAGTAATATGACCTATTGAAGTTTGGTAGGTCATATTTATTTTGAGAATGAATAATTTTATATTTTAGGAATGTATAATAATGACCAAGACTATCAAATAATAAAATAGGTTTGGAATTTCAAATAAGAATGAAAACTAATTCATATATTTCTATGAATATTCTAATGGACTCCAAGAAGATGATATGGTGTCTTTTGCTTTGATTTTCTCCAATTAGAAACATTGTATTTATTGATTGATAAAAAGGAATACTCTGTTGTTCCTGTTTTTTTTGCAACCTAACCTACCACTTAAGTATATATAATAAAAATAAGATAAAAAATATTACAGTTTGGAGGGCAAAGCAGATTTTTTCAGCTTTTTCATGCCTTGACATTCTGGGGGGAAATGCCTGGAGCATATTCGACCACTAGGTGGTAAGTGTTTGCCAACTGCATCAGCCCACTTTTGTCGAACATTATCCTCGATCCTATGAAAGTATAAAGTATAATGATGAA